ATAGGACAATGAGGGAGCAGAGCTATCCTACCTCCCTGGCTGCAGTGCCGGGAAGGACCCACAGCACGTAGTTCACTCACTTTGGTTCAACATCATTAAAACAACATGAAGGAAACTAATGTTAGAGACCAGTTGCCTCCATTGACAACTGAATTATTATGGTCCTAGAATACTTCCATGTCCTTACATCTAGATATGGTACATATAGTGAAAAATTTGCAAGCATCTGACATAATCCCCCAGCCCCTTAAAAAAAAAAGTAACATTACCCTATACACAAAATTACGTAAAACCTCACATCATCTTTGGGAGGTAGATATCATTATAACCTTACATTTTTAAATCAAAATATTAACATTATGGTTTCAAATAACAGCTCGATCTCAGTGTAACAGTCCATAATTATGACATTTAGAGGAAACTTGCATTCAGTTTCTTCCAAATACAAAGACTTGTTCACCGTGCTGGTGGCATGTGGGTGCAGACTCTATACAGCTTGGATAAACAGATGCACAGTCTTGTGTTAGGAGCTCACGCAAGTTTAAAGCCAACACGTCTCTTCCGAGTCCAAAGTGCTTAGAGGCAGCAGTCCCGCTCACGGATCCTTCTCAGACCGCTCAGTCCTTCAGCCTTAGAGAGCAGTCCTTCTCCTAGGGCTAGCCTTTGGTTTTAGGTCACAATTGTCCTCTTAATAGGCACTTAAATCCCCAATTATTCTGCTTTTCTGAACTCTGCCCACAGAGAGTCTCTGAACTCTACTGTCTGAGCACAAAAATAGCTCCCATTTTTTTTTTTTTTTAAAGGATAGATATGTCTGTATCATAAACACAGAGGGAAAGGGGGGTGGGGAGGTAGAAGAGGAATAAATGGTGACAGAGTTGACTTTGGGTGGTGAACAAACAATATACAGATGGTGTATTGGGGAATTATACACTTGAAATCTATATAACTTTATAATTAAACAATGCCATCCCCACTATATTCAATAAAAATAAAGAGAGAACACTGTATTTCTTCTTCTGCGCAGCCTGATGCTATGTTCTAGGACAAAATCTTCATTTCTTCTTTTACTCTTGAGCTCACAAGTCCTAATTTTGAGTCTTTGTGAAAGAGATCAGACATGTTTGAGGACTTAAATCTTGAGTGTCCCTGAGTTTCCAAATCTCCATTAGAGATCAAGATACCTGTTCCCAGTGAGATAGGCTTTAAAAGTTAGAACTTTAGAAGATTTAACATTTGACATTTTCATTATGGTCTTATATATAATATATATTTCCCTACTTTTTCTCCTTAAAACATTTTAAACCTCACATTTAGCAAAGGAGAAAAATAATAGTGATATAGAGGTTATTTGGAAGAACTTTATGTTGATCTGAGTTTTGGTAATACAGTGTTTCAACCAAGTAAAATTTTGTGTTTTTAAAACTTTCTCTTTGCAAAAGAAATCCGAGATCATTTTATATCTGGGCGTTAATGAAGGCAGACATCCTAACAAAATGGTAAGCATTTAAAAGGTGATAAGCTTTGTCACTGACAGAGTCAGAAACTGAGTCAGGACAGCTCAGAGGTAACAAAGCCTACGGTTAGCTAGCTTATCTGTACCAAGGCACGTATCTTTTTGGTGATGGTGGTGGAGGGCAATGGGGGAAACACTCCATTCAGTTCTCTGCTAGTAGGACATACCTAGGCCACACTTCAAATAATGAAAAGAATATTTGAGGAGGCAGTTCTTTTCCATTTCTACCCGCACCCCAATCCTGTCATCTTAGCGTCAGGGAACTTCTCACGGGGCTGGTCATTTCTCCGATCGTGGCCTCCTCGGTATGTGGTGGGAGGCCTGCCTCATAAGAGGGCTGGGGGGAAATGAGCAGAGGGCTGGTGGGAAATGAGCAGAGAGACCTACTCGGCTCCTGTCCAGAGGCGCTCTGGCTGAGAAGGTGAATGTGCTGCCTGAGGCTGCTGCAGGACTTCCCTGTCCAACAGGGAAGACAGGGAAAGATGTGAGTCTCTGAGTGTCTTGCTAAGATTCTCCTTCACCTCTTCCACTGCCCCCAGCAGAGGATGGTAGGGGCCATTAGTCAGTAGGTGTGCCCACAGAAGGCAGTATTACCTATGTGGTGGTGGTAACCATGACATACCACCTGGTTCAACTCTAAGATTTAAGAATGTGGAGCTTCCACATATAAATTATATCTGACTGGAAGTGCCCCCGTCCAGGCTCAGAATGTTACAATGAAAGTGCAGCCGTTGGAAATCATTCAGAAAACCCATTAGTCACAGGGAAAATGAGAGTCATAGAGACAAAAAGTGTCCCTCGGTGGATGGGTGGGCCTTAGTTTCATTACCTTGGGGTGCAAAAGTTGGTGTCTTCAGTGAAGACTTTGCCAATAATCTGGCAGAAATGCTCGATTCCCCTAGCTTTCTTTCCTATTAATCCTTGCTTCCAGATTCTCTTTCTTTTGTCCTCTTAAGAGTCAACAGGATGTGTGGTATTTCAAGAATATAATAAGCAATGAGTATAAGGAACCTGGCACAGGTTGGGAGGCTAGGATTATGGAAACACAGTGATACAGTGAAGACTACACACCAAAACATATCTAGTCTTTTAGCTGAAACCTCCAACATGTTGGGACTGTTGCCATGGAATTTCACAAAATCTTTTTTCCCCGAGACAGACGCCATGCTACAAAGAGCGGATAAGCCATTTGTGCAGTCAGAGGTGGAACATTTTAATTACATAAACGAGTCTGAGCCTAGTGCTTACACCCTTTAGGAATATCAAGGCAGACACACAAAACACAAATTTACCAGGAATTTGGGATTTTTGGCTCTGGTAGAAATGTTCATGAAGCTGACTCTTAATTTGTAAACAGGCTCCATGAAATTGTCCCTGGAAGCAGAATCTATTTTCCCTAACACAAGCTCTTACAGAGGAAAAGATAAAAAAGGCTTTGGCAGGCAGCTGCAGGTGCCAGTTTGTATGTACACTTTGGGGAAGATCAAAATACCTTCCTGTTTTTTGTTCCTCTCCACCATCCTCTTCACATTTACAACTCAGTGGTTAAAGGAAAAACTTAACAACACTACCATTTTCACATCAAAGATGTGTGGCATAGATATTCATATACAGATTCTTCTGCTTAATACTTAATGCTGCTTAAATGCTTACTTTTACAAACATTCATGGGTATTTAATACCTCTACATTAAAAGCTTTGAAAAATAAGTGGTTAGGGCATAATCACATAAATTTAAAGTTGGAAGAGATCTTAAGACTGTCTAAATCCAATTCTTATTCAACAGTTGAGACAACTTAGTTTTAAGAGTTTAAGTGATTTGTCTAAAGACCTACAGCTAATTAGGGGCAAATGTGAAATTAGCAAACAGATTCTGTGACCCCTATTCCAGTGTTAATTTTACATTAATAACAGAGCTTTTCCTTGATAGCATGCTTCTCTTAAGAGTAAAGATGACCAGAACCATCTACAAAACTAAGAGCAGACATTCAGGACTTTCTGTGGGATACAGTGGCTCCATTTAAAACGAGAAAACAACCTATCTGACGAAGACCTGCCAGTGGATGCCTCCCTCCCCACCATGAAGCTCAGCTCTGATATAAAAGCACTCATGGTGTCTATCCCCGAGTCCTCTCCTGTGGAGAGAGGGAGATGAAGTTATACTTTTTGGACTGTTTTTAAATTGTTGGGAAGTTTGCTTTGGGTCTGTACACTAATGCTCCATGAAGGAGACAGAGCTTCAGGTAGAGGGTGGTATTGCTTTTTCTCCCCTGGTGCTGCTAAACCATTTTCCTCCTCAGAACCCAGCTCTATCCATCTTTTTTTTTTTTTTTTTTTAATCCTCACCCGAGGATATTTTTTCCATTGATTTTTAGAGAGAGTAGAAACGAGAGAAGGGACAGGAGAGAGAGAGAGAGACATCAATGTGAGGCACATTAATTGGTTGCTTTCCACACGTGCCCCTATTGGAGTTGGGAGTCAAACCTGCAACCCAGGTATGTGCCTTTGACCAGGAATTGAACCCAAGATCCTTTGATCCTTTGGTGTGTGGGCTGACCCTCTAACCACTGAGCAATACTGGCCAAGGCCCAGCTCTGCCCATCTTGATCACAGGAAATGGATGCCACAGCCCACAGTGGACAACTTCCTGGAGTTTCCATGGCAGTCGGTATTAAAACCATCAGTTTTTCTGTGTAGAATTTGTCCCATAGATGACTTCTTTAACCCAAAGCAGCTTTTAATTGGAGACGAGGGGTAAAGAGGAGAAGCAGATGTATTATCAGATGACTTCGGGTTTTTTTTTTTCTTGTTTTTTTTTCTTATGTGTTAAGAAAAGAATCTGATGTTCCAAGATGACTTCGGTTTCGTGTTTTTTGCTTATGTGATAAGAAAAGGATCTAATGTTCCAAGACTGAGTCTTCAGTTATTGATAACAGTTATTTTATGGATCTTTTTTCCTTACTATTAGACTCTAACTGGGATTGGGAGAGTAGATCCTAACTCTCCGCCTTTTGTTAACTGCAGAAGGACGAGACTTCCCGTAAGGTCACTAGGCCAGCTCTTCCGTGTGGACCTGGGCTCATGGCCTTGGGGTGCTTCTGGCTGTCATATCTCAGAAAGAGTGTTCCATGCAGCACTGTGGGGGGACTCTTTCAACTGGCAACAAACTCCAAGGTATGCCTGTCCTATTGACACAAAAGAAAGTGATCAAATACTTCTCTGGTTTTTAAATAGCATAAAATTCAAATCCCTGATGGGCAAACAAAGGTTTCACAAAAGTAGTAACATCAGCATTATCTGCAAACAACTTCTGAATGGAGACAGGCTTCTCTTTGCCCACGTGAACATGACCCTCTGACGCTAAAAGTGGTACAAAAAAGAGTCTGGAACTGAGTTTGTTTTGAGAGTGATTTGTTAGGTGGGGGTATCGGTTTTTAAAAACAATGTGGAATCCTCGGGCGTGATCATCTTTGGGGCCAGATGTTCACTTCAGCATTGCTCTGTGTTCTCCTCGGGCTATATGAGACGAAAACTCATACCGATCATGGCTTCGATACCCACACATGTTACACTCAAAAGGATCACGAAAGCCGTGGCAACCCATGTGAATGGTGAACATCACATAATCCAGAAAGAGGACTCGACAGTGGTCACAGCGATACACGTCCATCATCTCCCCTTCGTTGTTGATCACTTTGATGGAGTCTCGTGGGCAGATGGGTGGGGGCTTGAGGAGTTCATAAGCGCGGGGTATCTCTTTCAGCAGTGGGATCCCATTGCGGGCCCGCGGAGGGACCAGGTGATTTTGCTGGTAGATGTGATTCTGGCGTTCTTCATGGTTGCTGTCAGTGTCTGTGGAGTCGTGGCCACTGTTATTGGGGGAGGGGCCTCTTTCGGAGGGCAGGCTCTTCTCTGGCAGGTGGATGTGCTTCTTGTCCAGGTCCTGGACGGCGCCATTCGGCATCTCGGCCCGGGTGAGGGCTATGGGATACATGCTGCTGATACCCGGAACCATCTCCGGGGTGGGAGCAGGCGGCGCCTGGACTAAGGGGCGCAGGGCCTCGGCACCGAGATAGCTGATGGCATTATTGATGGCTTGGTCCATCATTCGGGTTTGTATGATCTCGCTCTCTTTCTCGTACATGTAGCTGGGGTTATAGTTGACATCAAAGCAGTGGCGCTTCTCGCCTAGAACAGGTAAAGATAATGAGTTACAAAAAGAGAAACACAAAGGCAGAGCCATTATAAGATGGTTTTCCAGAGTCCTTGAAAAGAGGGAAAGGACATGCCTCCTGCAGGTACACCCAGCCCATGCAGAATGGCTCCATACGGTGCTGAAGTCTCAGGGGACGGTGGTTGACAGCACACATTAGGGCACTGCACATAAATTAGGTTAGCAGGCAAAGGGGGAGTCAGAGATGTCATTATGTTGAAAATACAACGTGAGTTGTTTCCACTGCTCTTGTCAGAGGGAAACTCTGGAGGAAACGAAGCGAGAGAACCGAGGACAAGGTTCAGTGGGGGCTCCTTGTGCAGGGCACGGGGGCATTTGCACTTCTGCGCATGAACTACTATGACCAGTCAACCCCCCAACTTCTATTTTGCTTGTTATTTTTTTCTGGTGACACTAAGGGAGTGTGTGTGTGTGGGGGGAATGTATTGCCAAAAGCAGGGATGATCTATGGCTGGCCTGCAGCTTTTAAAATAGCTACCGGGGTAAAAATAATAGCACCAGAAACTCCCCACTCCCTGCACTTGCCACTCCCCAAACACACCAGTCACCAGGCAGTCTGAGATGTAAGTAAAAGAGCTTCAAATGTAGAAAGTTTTAGAAAAGCTTTCTTGATGAAAGATCGTGATCTTTGTCCCTTTTATAAAGCGTGTGATTCTTGTGCTTAAAAAAAGGAATCACTGATACATATTTAGGACCCATCTCACACTTAACTGAAAAAATTAGTGATCATTAGGACCTATCTCACACTTAACTGAAAAAATTATCTGTGGTCAACCTTTCCTATTTCTCATGTCAAACTGCTGAGAGATTTTGAAAACAGAGTGTAGCCACCTTTAGGGCGTGTGGGTGTTGTGTGTTAGAAAACCAAGGTGCTCTGGCCACAGGAAAGGCAGGAGCGGGGCCTAGAGCGGTGGCAGATGTGCTCAGTGGTGAGTGGCTGGTTGAAGGAAGAGAAAGCGGGAAAGATGTGTCAAGAGCTGGAAGTGGGCCTAAAATGTGATGCTTTTGCATTCTGTAGACGGGCTCTGGCGAGATTTGCAGAACCATATCCTCTCTTTCTGGGCATGCTGTGGTTCCAAATTTGTCACCACCAGACAGCAAAGGGTTCAGCAATGAAAAAACAATATAAGAAAACAAAAAGATTGGAAGAACAAGTTCCTTTTCTTGAGGTCTTTCCAACCTATTAGGAGAGAAATAAGATCTGTATATATGGAACTGGAGAAAAACAAATGTTAAAAGTGGTGAAGGGGATGCACCCTGTGGAGGCCTTTAATTTTATTCTAAATACCATGTTTGAAGCATTTAAGCAGGAGAGTACTGTGTCTTCTGTGAAAAGAATGATAAGGCAAGGTGGTTTGGTACAAACCATTTACTTAAGTGTTAAGTGAATGCCAACATTTCAGGAATACTTGGGGGAGGGAAATCATTCTTGGGAAACCTAAATTTTGAGATGAGTTTTGAAATGGGAGGATTTTGATTTTTTTCAGAGAGGTAGATGGGACATCTTAATTGAGGAAGAAGCATGAATGAAGGTAGAAAAGTGGGCCTACAGCAGGGAACACTGGAAGTCTGGGTATAGCTAATATCAGACGTATAAAATAAAGTGTTTCTCAAGCTTCACTTATTCCCTCACATTTTGCAATATTCACACCCCAGGGTGGTGTGGTGGTTGACAGCATGAACGCTGGAGTCACATGGACTGGATTTGGTGCTGGCTCATCAGTTACTAGTTGCATGACCTTGGGCAAGTTACTTAACCTCTTTGGCTCCAAGTCCTCTTGTACAATGGGGATAATAATCATATCTACCTCACAGACTCCCTGATAAGCTCTTAGAACAGTACCTGGCACATAGAAAACACTTGGTAAACATCAGGGTTTTTTGTTTTGTTTGAATTAGTTTAATTTCTTTCTTTTGTTAAAATCAATCTTTTTTTTTTTTTTTTTAAAGAAAATATGTCATTAACATATGGAAAACCAGAATCACTTGCCACAAAAAGAAGGTAACTATGAAAAATAAAGACGATGAAACTAGGAGTAATTGATTCTATTTTGATCAGACTCTACTGTGAGTACTTGAAACAAAGAGCTACCCTGTCTTTGTTCAAAACAGAGATCACCAAGCGTGTTCAACGAGTAGCATCAAAATAAATTTCAATCTTTCTTCTTGATATAATCAGGGAGATTGAAAGAGAACTCAAAATAAATTTCTTGCCATGTGAATGAAGGTTTTTAAAAGGCCTATGAGCCTCCTGGCACTTTGTATCCCACATTTGGGGAGATAGTGAAGAAAGATAACACATGGTGGGACCACATGATGGCCATTCTGAATGGTCAACCATAAGGCTTGGATTTGAATAAATAGCAAACTACATCAAGCCCTTGAGCAAGGCAAGCTTGTGGTCAAAATGTTGTTTTCAGGCTATTAATGTAATAGCAATGTAAGATGAACCAAACATAGAGAACTGAGCCAGAAAGACCAGCTAAAAGATTTAATGTAATCAAATGGATTTGTCCTGCATGCCCACTATCTTATCGCCAACCTGATAGATTCTAGACAAATACCTGAGAGAAAAAATATGCAAAGAAAAACATCCCGCCTTGGCAACTGAACAAAAAGCAACAGAAAAGCAGACATTTGCTTTCTTATTTTCAGCTTCCAGATCAGATGTATCTTTGATCAAGGCTGTTGGGAAGAATGAGACTAGTAACAGGAAAGCCAGCTAAGGTCACAATTGTTCATTCTCCAGAGAGTAACAGAGAACTGATGAACTTTGGTTTCTTGGCTTTTTCAAGGTTATTGATGATTTTCCAGTGTGGCTAGCTCACTCAACTCCCCATACCAGGGGTCCCTGAGAATCTTTTTATCTTTCCTCCCAACAGAGAGGATCCATAAAGTTTCTAGGGTGGGGCAGGTACAACCCAAACTCTGTTTTTATCCTTTCTCCCAAGAGTTGGCTTTACCTCATTAGGCCTACAACTTCACAACCCATACCACCTGCAGCACATGTCAGAGAACAGCTGAGTGCTAAAGTTGTAAGAGGCAAAACATTAAGAGGAAAATGAACCCCTGGATGAGTGGAAATAGGTGACTGAGCTCTGCGGTTAACGCACACATTGTTCATTATGAAGAAGATGGGAGAGCCTCAGATCTTCACGTGCATGCACCATGCAATCATCAGATCCCCTCATCTCTGGGTTACGGTAACTTGAGTCGTGCAGATGATTATCAGTCACCTGTAGACTCGATGACTCAATGTGTATGAAACTCAGGAGGGGTAAGCTACAGTAACTGAAAAGCCAACAGCTCACGTTTCTTTAGTAACACACTCATAAAAAGGGTTGGTCAAACCACAACAGTGTAACTGCTCCCGACCTGCACGGAGCCTCTAGTCTAGCTTCTAGTCAAAATCATACCACGCCTTCGAATGACTAATGATACCAGCTTCAGGCTGAATTAGAGGTTTTGCTTCCAATGAAAATACAAATGGCAACAGCAAGTCATAAGTTTAGAAACCAAGACTGCTTAGTAGGGCCATTCCTTACCTGTGATTCTTTAAAAAAAAATAATATATTTTTATTGATTTCAGAGAGGAAAGGAGGAGAGAGAGATGAAAACATCAATAATGAGAATCATTGATCAGTTGCCTCCTGCACAACCTCGAATGGAATTAAGCCTGCCCTTGAACAGAATTGAATCTAGAATTCTTCAGTCTACAGGCCGATGCTCTATCCACTGAGCCAAAACAGCTAGGACATGTAATTCTTCTTCTTCTTCTTCTTCTTCTTCTTCTTCTTCTTCTTCTTCTTCTTCTTCTTCTTCTTCTTCTCCTTCTCCTTCTCCTTCTCCTTCTCCTTCTCCTTCTCCTTCTCCTTCTCCTTCTCCTTCTCCTTCTCCTTCTCCTTCTCCTTCTCCTTCTCCTTCTCCTTCTCCTTCTCCTTCTCCTTCTCCTTCTCCTTCTCCTTCTCCTTCTCCTTCTCCTTCTCCTTCTCCTTCTTCTCCTTTTTCTTTTTCTTCTAATATTTTTAAAAATATATTTTATTGATTTTTTACAGAAAGAAAGGGAGAGGGCAAGAGAGTTAGAAACATCAATCAGCTGCCTCCTGCACACCTCCTACTGGGGATGTGCCTGCAATTAAGGAACGTGCCCTTGACCGGAATCGAATCTGGGACCTCTTGGTCCGCAGGACGACACTCCATCCACTGAGCCAAACCAGCCAGGGCGGGCCTGCAATTCTTTTTAAAGGTGTTGACCCCTAATATTTAGGCTTTGGTAACACTACTAAGCAACCACCTGCCCTGAATTGCTGAAATGTGGCCAGAGCATATGGTTGTTGGCTTCTAAGTGCCAACTTCAAAGAACAGAATCACAGCCTAAAGCTAGAAGGGACCCTCACTGAGCATGTGGATTCCATCCTCTGTCTTTGTGGTCAAGGGACAAGACCCACCACCCTAATCGGTTTATTTCCAGTCTTTATAATTCACAGTACCCAATACTGTGCCTTATATGTAATACTAGTAAGAATAGCTACTATTTATTGAGCCTCTACAATATACCCAGTGCTGTCCTAGGTACTTGGCATATTGCTTCATTTTACCTAAGATGAATTATCATCTCTTAGACAGATGAAGAGCCTAAAATGCAATCAGGTTGATTAACTTGTGGAGGTTGCTCAGTTGGTAAATGGAGAACCAGGATGCAACCCCAATATGTGTTTCAGCGTTACTGCTGTTTCCTGGTAACTACCTTGCCCAAGGTGGCACAATCCCAGCACTGGCAGTGACTTTAGGGAAAAGATACTGTGCTTTGTTCCCTAAGGACCAGCACCATGCATTCAAGATATCTATGAGGCAGAATTGTGATGTCTGCAAGGTGTTCAATGGAGTATCTGGCATGTGTAAGAACTAAATAAATGATAGATCTATCATCATCATCATATCATTTTAGGAGCTT